GAAGTTGGAAAGGCAGGCTATCGGAGATGATCTTGAGGAGGATAAGCGCGAGTAGATGACAATCTCCAAGTAAAAATACAAAAACCCCAATTGAAGCTTCAGTTGCATATCTTGGAAATATCATATCATGATATACTGTCTGTGTCGTATGTATAAAGAACTTGTGTCTGAAATACTTTGAGAAAACATGAATAGAGAGAGAGTGTTTCAGCATTTTGCTGAAATATTTTAGCTGAACTGTATTAGTCTGACCAAAGCTAATTTAAGCAATGAGCAAATCCATCCAACCCAGACTGTTTAGCTCATGTCTACTAATCTTCCACCGCTTTGAACATTATTCTTTTTAATAATCTAGGGTCATTAAAGGTAGTATTTTACAGACATAATTATTCGAATACAAAAAAATAGTTTTTGAATGATCATAAAATGAGTAGCAGTTGCTTTGGTGTTTGTCTATAAATAAGATTATCTGCAAATTTTGCCATTCCAATGTAAATTCTTGGTTGGCGCAGGCTGATCTCATGGAGGTTTGTCTTGTTATATATAAATGTGAAACACACTAGTTTATATCACGTTTTCTTTAATATTAATAATGATCTCGTAAATGCATTACTTATTGGCCATACAAGATTCTTTTGCCACTCAACCATCTATTACCTAATAAATTATTCTAGATTTCCTTGGACTTAGAAAGTATGATAGAAAGGGTTTGAGATACATTTCTTCGCTAACTATTCATGTTGTCAATATGGTCCATAGTCAATGGGATACAAGATTTGCCTTTGCTCCTCGAGAGAGAAACAAATTAGCAGACTGCATGGCTCGACTTGCATGGACTTTTCCAATTGGTTTACACACGTTTGGTGAGCCTCCCTCGGTTGTGGTTTCCACGTTACAGGAGGACCTGATAGGTCAATTACTGCATAATGTAATTGCATAGCATTATGCTTTCCCTTTTCATTCCAAAATGTGTCACCACGAAAACACACAAGATCTCTTGTTCTCTATCACTCAACAAGATAGGAGAGAATGAATACTATAAATACCCTTACAAGAAGTATTTTCCACTCAATGTGGGATAGTATCCGAAGCATTACCAACAATTTTGTATCACTCCTACAAGGACAAGTGATTCTCACTTCACCTCCACATGGAGTTGAGGCTTTGTGAGCAATTAATATTGATTATGGCCATGCAAAGGAGTAGGAGGTTTTAACTCTTCCCATAAAGCGCCACAAACATGGATGAACAACCAACTCATTGAACTCAAATAAGTCTAGAAAAAATTGTTTTAATATCGGAACGATGATTATTGACAAACAAATAAACACGATTGAAAAGGAAAAACAAATAACACTAGGATTTACGTTGAAAACCCAAAAGGGAAAAACCATGGGTAGAGAATAAGAATTTCACTAATATGAAGGAATAAAATACAAGAGGATTTTGGTGAAAGAAAAACTTAATTTCTAAACCTGACTCTTAGTATCTATTTATAGGGATAAATACTTGATTACAAATGAAAACTAAATAAAGTAAAATCTACTCTAATAAATTTTGTACTTTTAACCAAATTGAGTTTCCTGTTTTCCCAATTTTTATATATTAATTAATTTGTGTCACTTTGAATTCGAGTCAAACTCTAACAAATCTCCACCTTGACACGAATTCTGAAAGTGCAAAGGTTTCGAGGCAAAACACTCAAATTCGATTAACACCCAAACTCAACAAGAAACAATTCTTCACTTCAACGAGCAAGTTCTCCACATCTTCAATAACGGACACCGATCAAGTCCAAGCTTTTTTTAGGCTTGGATTTAGTCTTCACATCGACATGTTTATCATAAGTGTCAACTTTGCTCACAAATGTTTCACCACGAGAAATATCATGCACAACAAATCCTGATCATCAATGATAGTTCTATCTTCAAATTCATTATGTTCACGAAATTAAACTCTTTTCTGCTTCACATAACGTTATGCCCACGGTTATTTTGTTCAACAGCGTTTTTAACACGGTGGATGAAACACCAACTGCATTATCTAAAACTGTTGAACCATGTATAACATAAAACTTGGTAGTCTTTCTCTGCCCTTTCAACACAACAAGAGAATCCTTGCAAATTTTCATAGCTCCATATTCACTGGAGAATTTGTACCCTTTTGAATCTAGAGTACCTAACGAAATTAGATTTCTACTCAAATATGGAACATGTCTCACATTACCAAGTGTTCGAACAATCCATCGAACATCTTAATCTTGATTGTGCCAACGCCTGTGACTTTACAAGGGATATTATTTCCCAAAAATACATCACTTGTAGAAAGAGCTTCAGACGACGCAAACAAGTCACGATTTGGATTCATATGAAAACTACTACCAGAGTCAAGTATATACTCATCACTTGTTATAAAGTTGTTGTCAACCGCAACTAGGAGTTCTCCGTTATGGTACTCCTCTACTATACCGACCTCACCAGATTTCTCAGAGTTCTGCTCTTCAACTTCTCTTTTGATTTTATTTTGCAACTTGTAACACTCCTATTTAACATGACCTTTCTTTTTACAATAGTGACAAGTTTTACCTTGGTTGGAAGATTTTTATAAACCCCTTGCAATATTATCAGAAGAATGTTTGCCTTTTCTCCTACTGTCTAAGCTAGTCGATTCATGCATCACGAGACGATCTGCATGGGGCTCGGAACCAAATACAAGATGTTTGATCTCGTCAAACGAGTGCATGCCATTGTAAACTTCTTCAAGAGTGAGTGTTTCGTGATTGTACAAGATTGTATCTCTGAAAGACGAGTAGGAAGGAGGCATCCAACATAGGAGGATCAATCCTAAATCTTTTTAATCATACTTCACTTCTAAAGTCTCTAGATCATAACATTTTCATTGAATGCGGTCAGATGCTCTTCAAAAGACAAATATTCCGCCAACTTGAGCTAATAAAGACGATGTTTTAGGTGCAACTTGCTGGTAAATGATTTCTGCATGCAAAGTTGCTCCAATTTCGCCCACAAAGTTGCAACTGTTTTTTTTTCAACACATCCTGTAAAATTTGACTTGATAAGTGTAAACGAACCTGAGAAAGAGTTTTATGATCATTACGCTTTTCCTCATTCGTCCATTGTGTTACCGACTTCTCATCAAATCTTTTTATTATATCGTCGAGATCTAATTGTGCAAGAACATCCCGAATCTTCACCTGCCATAGCGAGAACATGATGTTTCGATCCAATAGCGAAATATCATATTTTATTATTGTCATAATTGAACCCGACGCTCTGGTACCAGTTAGTTATAATATCGGAACGATGATTATCGGTAAACAAATAAACACGATCGAAAAGGAAAAACAAAGAACATCGGGATTTGCGTGGAAAACCCAAAAAAGAAAAACCATTGGCAAAGAATAATAATTTCACTAATATAAAGGAAGAAAATAAAGAGGATTTTGGTGAAAGAAAAACTTAATTTCTAACCCCGACCCTTAGTATCGATTTATAGAGATAGATACTTAATTACAAAATAAAACTAAATATAATAGAAATATATTTTAATAAAGTTTCCTACTTTCTTAATATCTATATATTAAATAATTTGAACCAATTTGAATTCAAGTTAAACTCTAACAAAAAAAAATTATAACCATTGAAAGACAATATTGTATTATTGTTCTTGTCTGCAGTTGACTGCTATAGGGATGAAGCCAATAATAATAATAATAATAATAATAATCTTTGTGTTGTATTCACTATAATCCGAAAAGGAGCAGACTAATTAACAAGACAGACATGGAAAACAGCTGAAAATGCCTCACAGCATATCAAATGGATGTATGACGCGGTTGAATAACTCTTATTGTCCACCAAAAAACCATTGTCAAACATCATTGACTACGTGAAGTAAAAAAGATTGAGATTCGGCGCCATTTACGCCACTAAATCTATCCTCCAAATTAAGAAATACAACACAATACTAATTAAGAACTAAGCTTAGAACCTTCAGCGTATAGATTGAGATGCAGAAACCGAAAACACAACACAAGAGTAGGTTTTTCATTTTTGAAATGGTAAAAAAGTAAAATGATGATGATGTGTGGTGGTCTCCGGCCGAGAAATTCCGGTGAAAGTGAAAAAGGTAAGCCGTTTGTTGTGGAAGGCATGTGTTGTCGTTATGCTGTCTGCATGTTCACCAACACTTTTATCTCTTTTCTCAGATCAGATGTTCCCATTTTTAAGCTTTCCTTCTTGAGTTTCGCTAAAGTAGAGTGATTTCAATTTACTTAAAATAAAGATTAATTTAATTTCAGTTTCTTTTTTAAAAGATTTAAAAGAGAGAGAAGACTTGAAAATCACGTCACACTTGAATCGGTGTGCAACTACAAAGAATATTTATAGCAGCCCCTTTTGCTTTTTAATCATGACTTACCATTTCTCAATAAAACAATAAGAGAGAAGAAATATAATCCCATCTCAACTGGTAAAGCAAAACAAAAGCTGATATACCTGTACAGTGTTTCAGGATCCTTGTTTGACCGAATATAAAATCATATTTACTTATTAATTATATTTTGACACTCTAAAATTATCACTAACGTTAAATTTTAATTTTGTTTTGATCATTTATAACTTAAAAAATAATAAAATTATGAAATTGATATTTATTTTTTTATAATGATGTGGTATGTTTTATAATAACATATCAATATCACTTTTAATTAATATTAGTAATAAATTATTAAAATAAAATTAAAACATAGCATTAATAATAATTTTTTAAAATTTTTTAAATGATTAGAGCAAAAGTAAAGTGACACTTAAGTGGTTAAATAAGTAAATTACCCTAAAATTAAAAGAAATTTAACGACACAAGTGCTGCAACAAGTGATTAAACGATTAGTTTAGGGTACAACTTTTGTGTAAAATTATAAGCAAAATCCAACTTATGATGTTGTCTGTAACTAAACGGACGACAGTTACAGTACACACACCAACCACAATCAACACTAAAATTTTCATCATTAATTACTTCCTTCTTCAACTCCCCCCCCCCCTCTATTTCTTCTCCTTCGCCACCTTTTCACCTCACCTTGAACTATTTTGATATTTTCTACTTCTACTTCCGGTTAGGAGTTTCTAAAACTTCTTTTACTTACCCCAAACTCAAACTAAAACAGCGAAAACCACCCATGGATGCTTAGTAATTGTTTTTCTAATTGAGTTGGAGGAGGAAGAAAATGGTTTTAAAGGTTTTAGCTTTTCTTGCGTTGCTTTCAGTTATGGTGAACTCTCAGCAGCCAGCTTTCAACGACGACGTTCTGGGGTTAATCTTCTTCAAAGCAGGTCTCAAGGACCCAAATGCAAAGCTCCAATCTTGGAGTTCCGACGACAATGATCCCTGCAACTGGACGGGCGTAAAATGTGACCCCATTACTTACCGGGTTACGGAGCTCCACCTCGATGACTTATCTCTTTCCGGCCACGTCGGTCGTGGCTTATTGCGGTTACAGTTCCTTCAAGTTTTGTCACTTTCGAAAAACAATCTCACGGGTACCGTAAACTCCGAGCTTTCCCATATCGGAACCTTGCGGGTTATCGATTTGAGTGGAAACAGCTTGTCGGGATCGATCCCTGAAGAGTTTTTTGCACAATTTGGGTCTCTGAAGTCGGTTTCTTTTGCGAGAAACAAGCTCACGGGTCATCTTCCTGGTTCTTTGAGCTCATGTTCGACGCTTGTGGAAGCAAACTTCTCGTTTAATCGAATCTCGGGGCAGTTGCCATCTGGGATTTGGTTTTTGAGGAGCCTTCAATCGCTTGATGTGTCTGGTAATCTGATGGAAGGAGAGATTCAAGAAGGGATTGGCAATTTGTATGATTTGAGACTGATAAATTTCGGAAACAACAGATTCTCAGGGAAGATTCCTGGTGATATCGGAAGCTGTTCACAGTTGAAATCTGTTGATTTTAGTGATAATTTTTTGTATGGTAATCTTCCTGATTCAATGAGGAGACTTGTTTCTTGTAGTTCAATCATTTTACGAGGAAACTCTTTGAGTGGACAAGTTTCTGACTGGATTGGAGAATTGATAAGCCTTGAAAGTTTGGATCTTTCTGCAAATAATTTCTCTGGTGGAATTCCATCTTCTTCGGGAAATCTGCAGTTACTGAGGGAATTGAATCTTTCAATGAACCAGTTAACTGGTAATGCTCCATCATGGATTTCTGGGAATGAACTTATGGGGAGCCTTCAGGTCTTGGATCTTTCTTCAAATGATTTATATGGTGAAATCCCGTCGAAAATCGGGGTTCTTAGCAGCTTGGTGTTCTTTAATACGTCCAGGAACAATCTTTTTGGATCAATTCCAGGCAGTATAGGTGAATTGAAGACCACACAGGTTATTGATTTGAGCTACAATTTGTTGAATGGAAGCATTCCTTCCGAAATTGGTGGTGCAGTGTCACTCAAGGAACTCAGATTGCAGATGAACTTTCTTTCTGGGAAAATTCCAATTCAGATAGTGAATTGTTCATCACTAACAGTTTTGTAAGTTCTTCCTTGCTCGTATATTCGTTCGTTGCTAGCTATGTACATTCGAGTTCTTTTAATGATTTTGTTCTGGTTTCAATTGCAACGGTGCAGAAATCTATCCTGGAACAACCTATCTGGCTCGATTCCTCCTGCCATTTCGAACTTGAGCTGCCTCGAGTATGTGGACTTGTCGTCCAATGACCTTACCGGAAGCTTACCGAAAGACCTAGCTAATCTTTCTCTACTCATGTTCTTTAATGTCTCTCACAACAACCTTCATGGTGTACTTCCTGTGGGGGGCTTCTTCAACACCATTCCTACTTCATCCGTCTCTGGAAATCCGTCGTTGTGTGGTTCAGTTGTCAATCGCTCTTGTCCGGCTGTCCATAATAAGCCCATTGTCCTCAATCCTAACTCCTCAGACTCCATCAGTGGCTCCTTGCCGAATCATCATCGAAAGAAAATTGTGCTCAGCATCTCTGCCCTCATTGCCATTGGTGCAGCGGCATTCATTGTAATCGGTGTAGTAGCTATCACTGCCCTCAATATCCATGTCCGGTCTTCTATGTCGCGTGCTCCCGCAGCTCTCGCCTTATCCGGAGGGGAAGATTTTAGTTGTTCTCCCAACAATAATACGAACTATGGCAAACTTGTAATGTTTTCAGGGGATGCTGACTTTGCTGCTGGTGCTCATGCTTTGCTTAACAAGGATTGTGAGCTTGGTCGTGGTGGGTTCGGAGTTGTGTATCGAACAATCCTTCGTGATGGACGTTCGGTTGCCATCAAGAAGCTGACGGTTTCAAGTTTGATCAAGTCTCAAGACGGATTCGAAAAGGAGGTTAAAAAACTCGGAAAGGTTAGGCACCATAATCTTGTAGCTCTCGAAGGATATTACTGGACTCCTTCCTTGCAACTCCTCATTTACGAATTTGTTTCAAGTGGGAGCTTGTATAAGCACCTACATGAGCCCGGAAGAAGTTGCCTATCGTGGCGGCAGCGATTCCACGTAATTCTCGGGACGGCCAAGGGTCTGGCCTATTTGCATCGTATGAACATTATTCACTACAACCTTAAATCAACTAATGTTCTTATAGATTGCTCAGGTGAGCCCAAGGTTGGAGACTTTGGCCTAGCAAGGCTATTACCAATGTTAGACCGATGCGTTTTAAGTAGCAAAATCCAAAGTGCACTTGGTTACATGGCTCCCGAATTCGTTTGCAAGACGGTGAAAATAACCGAGAAATCCGATGTGTACGGCTACGGTGTATTGGTGTTAGAGGTGATAACAGGGAAGAAGCCAGTGGAATACATGGAGGATGATGTGGTGGTGCTGTGTGACATAGTCAGGGGAGCGCTTGAAGACGGTAGGGTGGAGGAATGTATCGACAGGAGGCTTCGTGATAACTTCCCGGCAGAAGAGGCGATCCCGGTTATTAAGCTTGGCTTAATATGTGCATCTCAAGTGCCATCAAATAGACCAGACATGGAAGAAGTAGTAAACATTTTAGAACTCATCCAATACCCTTCTGAAGGCCAGGACGAGCTCGAGTAAGTGATTCGGGATCGATACGACGCCGTGTTTTACGGTGACGATGAATCCAATTTGTGCTACAGGAAAAAAGAGTTTACATTTTATGAAATGGCCTTGTCCACCATCCCATTTACCCTCGATTCTTTGTTCTTTCCACGTTATATTTTATGTGACTTATTTTGTTTGTTTTCCCTTTCAATACGTAGAGTTTTCACCTACTGGATTCCTTATCACCGGCTGCGTATGGGACTATGAATCATATGCAATCAAATGTTCCAATACGTCATTCTTCAAATTTTAGTATTTTATACTTTTTTTTTTATATTTAAAAAAGGGAAACTACTTCTATGATCACTTAACTATGAGTTGATTTTATTTTGAGCATTCATATTTTGTCAATCAGATCGACTAATTATTTAAGTATTATAATCAAACCACCAACCGATAAGATTTAATGGAGGAGGCTGTTTTAAAAATTAGTATAATTACACATCTGGTCCTCCTTAAATTTAATCTAACCAAATTAATAGAACATGTAAATATTGAGGACTAAATGTTACTCATACTATTTTTTTTTAACAATCACGTCAATCTCTCCCTTAAATATTAACGATTGGTGACTTGATTGACAATAATTAAATAGTTAAATGATCTAATTGATAAAATTAAAAGATTAATGATTAAAATAGAATTTGGTCACAATTAAGTGATCATGGGTGTAATTTACTCTAAAAATATGTAAAAAAGAAAATGAAACAGAGGAATGCAAGGAGAGAACGTGAGAAAGGAAAACATAAAAGTGAAGAAATGAATGATGGGAACACATGATGCTGGTGAAGAAAGAACACTCATTTGCTTTATGTAAAGCACTTTCTTTTTCAATTAATAAATAAGTTTGTATGTATTTATTTTGGGGGAGAAATATGGGATTAGCCTTCATGAATTTTGCAAACAATAGCTTTGAGCAATCAAAGGCCACAGTCATGCGCACTAACCCAACTCATGCTCCACATCTAATCCATGCCTTTTTTTTTCTTTTTGTATGGTGGTGGCAAACATGGCATTATATATATAGTGCATGGCATTATAGATGTTGCCACGAGAATCTCACGGTTTGGTTTTGTTTATTGGATTGTACTAATAGTGGAAAGCATGGCATTATATATCTACAGAATTTTTTTCACCAACTCATTTTTTATATTCTTATTTATTTTATTGAGTCGTTTTTAGAATAAACGATTATTTCTTTTAATAATATGGGACCATTTGTTGGGCTAATACAGTGAGGAAATTAGTTTATTAATATAGAGTATTCGAGAAATTACTATCTTTTACATAAGATGAATGTTATAGTGTCAATCGAAAGTTGTCGGAGTCACCTGACGTCTTCTGGAAGATACCCGAAACACTTGATGTCTTCCTGCATTAAGTTTCGTGTATTAGCCCAACAAACGACTCTAAAATCCTTGAAAAAGTCATTCACCATCTTCGACCAACTCCTCCGCCAGTTCAAGGACACCAACAAATGTCATCACCATTTGTGCATCCAGAGTCATGCAAGAAGATTAAAAAGACATCAAATCTTCCGCGCGTCTTCATAAAAACATCATGTGATTCATGATCTTTCCCGATCACTGTAAAAACCACCCTAATAAAGTTCGGAAATTCTTTTCCCACCTCGTTATTTGGGTGATTTTACTACCAATAATATCATTTCTAAGATTTAAATTTAGTATCATATTGTTTATTATAAGCACAAGTTAAGGTAAAAGTATTATAGCAGTCCCTGTACTACATCTCGATTAGTATTTTGATTTTTCTACTGAAAAAATAGATGCATTGATTTACATGTACTTTGAAAAGCAAAGGATCCATTCACTAAAATTTATCTCCTATTTTAGTTAATATTGAGGTGATAATCATAAAAAATGTAAAATAATTTTAAAAATAAGTACCAAAAGTGAATAAATAATAATTTTAATAACATAGTAAGTATATGTTCATCATTAATTTTGGTTAGCATGCAATTATTATTATTAGATGTTATAGTCCACGCCCAATTCAATTCTTCATACATACCACACAATGCCTCTGCTAATGTCATTCTTTCATATTGTTCAAATCAATGATGTCCCAAAAAAGGTTAGCCTTCCAAGCAAATACATTGAACAACAGTAACTGTTATCCTGCAATATAATATTCTGACTCTTTAGGGACCAACTTCAATCCTTGTTGACCTCAAATACCAAATAAATGATTACTCTACAACCAAAACATAAAACTCATTAGTAAACTCCAACACCATCATCCCCACTGATAAATGGCAGAAAAACACAGGCTCTTTGGAGGACTTCCGATGATCAGTAATGTTGGCAACTGTGTGGACCAATTTACAGTTTCTACATCGAGTCGCCTGTTCTTTGAATTATCTATTCCTTTTCCTTCTATGACTTCGCACTTTCTTACCTTCTCACTTTTTTTCCGGGTAAAAAGGTTCAATCATCCCAGTCATTTTCCCAGCCATCTCTGTTTGACGATCTAGTAGTGAGGCCATTTGCTGAGATGTTCGATACATTGTGTCGTCCCATTGACGATTTCCCTGCATTGCCATCATCCCAATCACTATCCCAACCCTGGTCCCAGCCTTCAGCTGTTTCTACTTCAGTAGCTGCCATGGATTCTGGTAATCCCATTTCTAGCTCTTGGTAAGGTATACCATCACGCCGTCTCTTCTTCCTAAACATGCAACAAGCCCATGACCCTCCGAAAACTAAAACTGTTGCAATCATGAAGTATGCTCCATTTACTGGTGTCAGCAACTTGTCATAAGGAAGGTTTAAGAAAGGGTTCCCTTCGGATGCAATAGGGTTCATGTGTAGCACACAATCTCCATTTCCAGCACTTAATAATAGCTCACCGGTCTCACTAATAGTCAAAGGGATATTGATCTGGAAACGTTAAGCAAATGCAAATCAACTCTAGATACAAATAAGTGCACGAGACACTTATTGGAACATTGTTCTGGGTCAGAGTGTTTATCTTCATCCCCCATGAACGAAAGTTAATTTAAGAAAAACAGTAAATCATCATCCCAATATAAAGGCCTGGCAAATGCCGTTATCTAATATTCAACTTTGGATTTGATGTGCTTTTACATTCATGTTTGACCACTCGATTAACGCAGGCTTACATCCAAAGATGTACTTATTGACAGATATGTTATGTTGTTTGCTGAATTGCCTCTTATGCATTGTTCAAAAATAAGTCCATTGATTTCAGCTATTAGTAATATGCCAATTAGTAAAGGGAGTATTAAGTGAAGTTAATCCATACCAGTTGAGAAAGTTTTGATGGTTAAGTTAGGGGTTTTGGGTTTTGTTCTTTTCCTACTAATAAGGGAGTATATATTGATGTTTAACAAGCAAGCTATTTAATCTTGGCATACAGTCGATCAATCCTTCTAAGTACTCTATGCGCCCAAAGATGTCAACCAATATAGGCAGAGTAAAAAGTTCATATTTTCCCCTTTTCTTTATTTACTTATCTCCGGAATGATTTATTAAATGTCCTCAAATTTAGCCGGATTAGAGATAAACAATTTTTGTCACTACAAATTATATTTTCAAGTTAAATCGAAGGGGAGGAGGGAAACTGCTATGCAAGTCTTCTTCCTAAAAGTAATCAATTGAGACACTTCATGCCTAATTTAATAGCTCAGTAGAATCAATGAATTGAAAGCTAGCTAAGAACTTCTGCTTTTGTTTAAATAGCCACTGGCTTAAGCGCAACTTCAAATTTTATGTTGCAAATCTTATTCGTGCATAACATAGATCTTATTATGTCCCCTGTTATATGAGAAAAAAATGACAAAGCAGAAGATAAAGAAAAGACCATACCGTTTGAGTTCCATGTTTTGGCACTTTAAGTCCCTTCACTAGAGATTCCCCAGAGGGACCAGCAACATTAACTTTTAAACTTTTCCCCCCACTATTATGGACCAGAACAACCCATTGTTTGGACCCTGGAAAGGAAAAAGGAAATCAAACGTATTGCTTGTCATCAGGAAATATACCACTATGCTACTATATGAATTCTATACTAACAATAAGCAACAATTCAAGAAACAAGTTCACTAGATTCCTCATCTTGTACAATTACGAAAGAAAACTGAATGGGAATCGAGCTGATTAAGCAATAAATAAATACTGCCTAATTAGTATTTGCACAGTTGAAATTAACATCCATACTGAGATCCATTACTCCTTAACACAGGAGCAAAAATATAGCATAACATTAAAATAAATCAAATAATTTATCATTCTATCCCCAAATAACTGTTCTATTAAAACCACTCAGTGATTAGGAAATTGCGTTCAAGGCATTTGAAATGTGGGGAATTTTGTGTCACCTTGCATACACCCACACATACAAATAATGAATAGACGAAGATTATAATTTGATTATAACTTAGCTAAAAAAGTTTATGCTAATTGTACTACTATTTTATTGTTAAGATGCCTGATGCCTTCACACGGACTTGCCCATTGTTTCTTTCAAAATGTATTTTCAACTAAAGGATATTGCTGGAGGTTAACCCTAGAATTGCATTATCTATATTGTTAACCAAATACATCAATGTGACGTTCCTAACCATTAACCTTCTATAAATATTCATAATAACTTAGTCAGCAACAATACCTACCGAACAATCAAATTCCCACTATTTATATTTCCATGCAAGGCAACAGCTAAAAGGAAGCTAGCTATCATCCATAAATTTGTTCATTGTACTGAACTTCTTCATCCAACCTTAATCTAGCACCATAAAGAAACATCCAACTTTTTCCAGTTTTTCTTTTTAATTTTAATATAGCAGATTTAACATTTGAAAATAGACACCCCTAGCCCTCTATCCATGCCCATGTATCGCTAGACAGTCATGGAACAGTTCATAACCCTATTTTCCAAACATGTTCCAAAAATGCAATGAGCCTAGGCACATTTATGCTCCAATTTTCAGAATAAGAACAGATATAAATATTAAGTTTCAGTCCACATAATTACTCTACTAGGCAGCTAAAGCATACTCAATTCAACTTCAGTAATGAATGTATGCAAGCCATTACTCAACTAAAGGCAACAGCACAATATCATTAGCTCATTTTCAAATTCTATGTAAGCATTAAATCAGTTTCTATTCCTTGGAATTCCACCCTTGACCCTACCACCCTAATAAGCAATTCGAGATGGCTTCTAAAGCAATGCGAATTATCAGTTTGAAAACCTTTAATGCAGGCAGTCAAGTAGTTGCCGTCATTGCAGCTGTTAGCCACCCCATCACATGTTTCAACAATCCCTGACTGGGTCTTATTTCCATTCTCATTTGTCTTCTTCGGCGGCTTCTTATTCTCATCCTCCTTTGACACATCTGCCTGTTCAGTCCCCGTGCTATTAGGTTTCTTTGCACTATATGTATCATTTTTCTTTTCCTCTTTACCCTCCAATGTTTTATCACCAGTGGAATTTGAAGTTGAACTCGAATTGTTTCCAGTACTAGCATTATTTTTCTTATCCTCGTTATCCTCCACTGTTTTATGATTTGAAGTTGAACTCGAATTGGTTCCACTATCTATTCCCTTTTGCGGAGGAGGTGGAATCACTTTCCCCGGTTCATCTGATAGTTTAGGATCCTTCTTGTCAACTGGAGGTTGATTCGCGGAATTCGTTCTATTCAACGGGTTCGGATCCAATTTCGATTGAGTATCCGGTTTAGGGTCCGATTTCTTGGTTGGCGACTGAGAAATCTAAAATCTCAACAATAAGTAATTTTAGTTAAATACTAAATTCAAGAAGAAAACAACAAAAAACGACGATGGTAACTAAAATAAACGATTGAGATAGATAGGGAAAAGGAAAGAGATATTACTGGCGGCGCTCCGGCGGTCGTGTCGTTCTTTGTTGGAGATTCATCGGCTAAGAACCGAAGCTTCCAAAACAGAGAAGCATTGGAAACATCGGCGACGATCAGAAACAACAAACACGCTGTCGTAATTGCATATCTATCCATCTCGCTCTAAATAATAATAATATTCTTTCGGGTTTGTTTGTTTGGAGACTAAGATCTGGAAATTGACAAAACTATTTTAGGCGGCGGAGTTGAGATTTATAGAATCGGTAGCTCCGTTGAATGAACGCACCACCGAGCAAAATTAGCATCCTCGAAAGAAAGAAGTAAACAGTAATTAATTAACTAGCGATGAATCTGAATGAAAAAGGGAGCAAAATTTAGCTTCAAAAATCGAAACACGGCAAACGCAGAGCGGTTACAATTTTATGAATAAAAGTGATTGGTGACGACATCAGAAATTCTGCTATGTAGCAGTTTAATTTAAGATTAGGAAACGGTAAGAAATAGGTGTAAGATAAAAAGTAATATTTAAGTTGATCTTAAAATATTATAAAAAATAATATTTTTTATTTAATAAAAATAATAAAATATTAATTTTTAAATTATGTTTAACTGAAAATATTATTTTTTTACAACAGTTTTGTTTTATTTATTTTATATAGTTCTATAACTTTAAATTATACTGTTTATCTTTTAAATTTTTCAGTGACGACGATGATAAGGATTAAGATGCCAATGGAATAATAGAAATTTTAGTATTGTTGAGTTGTTTTTCCAAGTCTTTTTTTAAATAATTTCTACTAAAAGAAGAAACATTTTTTTTACTCTTAGGCTAAGTTTGCTTTAAGGAATGTAAGATTACCAGTGAGAATAAAAGATTATCAGAGAATAGGATTACTGAGAATGTTGTATTTTGTGTTTGGTTGGTTTAACAGGAATGTAAGATTATCGTGTTTGGCTAAAAGAATAAAAGATTATTGGAATGTATATTTGATTAAATTGTCCTTATTATATATTTGTTTTTTAACAAGTTAGAAAATATTAACAAGTTGGAAAATATTTATATATTTTCTTTAAAAAATTTAAATTCATAAAATTTATATAATTTTTTTACAAATTAAAAATATAAAAAGGTTTAATGAAATGGTAAAATTTTATTTTAACCCCTGAACTTCATATAAAATTTTAATTATAGATTTTTTTTGTAAATCTAAAATAATTTAAGGATAAATTTGTAATTTAACCTTCGTAGAATTTTTATTATTCAGAATTTTTTTGAAATAATTTTTTTATGGACATTTTAGTTTAAAACGCCGATAATCCAACAATACCTAAGGAAATGGAGGTAATGACATTTCCGGTAATATACCCCAAAAATCCACTATTGGTAATGTAAGATTACCAGGAATGACATTCCCGACCAACCAAACTAGGGAATGTGAATTCCATTCCCATGAGAATCTCACATTCCTCCGACCAAACATACCCTTTAATGATCATGAACTCCCAACTTAGAAGAAATGGAATGTGTCAATTAAGAACTTTAACCATGTGCTTCTTGATTTGATTTGACTAAAAATTTGACATTGATCGACATAAATTCACGTTGTCACTATTTGCATGAAACAAAAATGTATGTGAGGTTCTTGTATTCTTTTAAAAAATAAAATTAATATGACTTTCGAATTATTTTTATACTTAATGTAGTCCTTTAATTCAAAAAATCAAATCTAATGAAGCTTTTTGATCAACATTTTTTCGTCGTTAACTGTTATAATGCCGACGTTATAGTTTCCATGCTGACATGATGATTCACGATGTTAATATGAAGGTCCACAGTAGTTGATGGGTTAAATTGATTTTTTTATCGTGTTCGAGGGTTGAATTATTTTTTAAAAAGTTCAAGGTTTACTTAATTATTTTAAAAAATAAAATTATTTTAAATTTAAATTATTTAAAAAATTAAATGTAAAAATACTAAAAATACTAATATATATTAAAAATACTATTAAAAATAAAAAAATAGATAATAAATTATTAAAGTAAAATATCTAAAAAGTATATATCCAATATATAGATAAAAATTAATTAATTAATTATATTTATAGTGGAAATAATAAAATCCTAATTAATTATATTGTAAAGACATAATTTTTTGTATGTAAAATTTTCTATCACTTTTTAAAATATTGGTAGATAGTGACATATAAATTAAAACTTTTCCTACATCTTGTGTCTTTTTCTTACATTTTATTGTGTTATGTATGGAAAATGATGAACAAATATAAGTTGTAAATAATTGAAATAATTTTATTTTAAATTAAGTAAAATTATAGATTGATATTTATTCTAAATTAAGTGAAATTAATTTATTAATCGTGATTTAAAGATATTTATAGTAAATTTATGCCAACCTAAAATTAACATTTGAACATCATTCTTTGTTTATACTATTCCAATTTCAAACCTTATTAAAGTGAAATAGTAAGTGTCGAATAATTAAAGGGTAAAATTTTAATATTTAATTTTAGAAGTGCTTAATTTGTAGTATAAAAAAGCTTCTAACTTTCAATTCATCAACTAAATATGAAGAGTTTTTTTTTTAATAATCTAGAGTTGTTATTTGTTTATAAATGTTTCTTAATCATCGATAACATGTATTTTATAGACAAAATTATTCGAATTCAATTTTTTTTTAAAAATAATATTTTCTTTGTTATTAAAGTCGAGTTAAACTAAATATAGAGATAAATAGGTAAAAGAGTTGCGTTTCACATATAACAAAACCACTCTCGAACGAGCGAGTAGATGAACTGTTTTATTAATATATCGCCTGAGTCCAACAAAAAGGACACCAAATTGATATTGAGCAGAACCCTTTATTTTGGAGAAGACAGTAAGGAGAATGATTTTGGAGATTTTTGGAGTGGGGGAACACGCTGATGAGTTGATCGAGTCCACGAATTATATTCTCCAGGTCATGAGGGTCTCAAGCCAGCGTGCCATTCCGTGGGCGTAAATCCCTCACCCAACTCTTTCATTTTTCTAATCGCAGAATCTCTGGGCGTAAATTATTTATTACAACTTCATTAACTGACCATCAATTATATGTACCAATTATGGAATGAGATTATCCCTTTTAGTAATAAAATTGTCAAATGATAACTACTTATTTCAATCACTCCATATATATATATATATATACGAGTAATTTATTATGTGCATTACTCATAAATCTTACGCTCAACTCTTTCATTATTCTCATCGGAGAAGTTCTTAACGCAAATCATTTATCGATGTAATAACTAACCAATAAATGTGATAAAGAGATGGGTGAATTGAAAATTTTAAAAGTGTTATTGAAATTAATTAATTTTTAAAAATATTTATTTATTTTTACATATGTTTATTATGTATATTGAATAGAAGAGAATGATATCCGGTAAGCAAGAAGGATAGGACAAAGCAAGTGGAGATAAAATGGCTACAATTTCATATTTATGTTTACCTCAACCTCGCTGTTCACGACAGGTTTAATTTTTTATTTCATTCTCGTTTTATCCTCTGATTCAATTGGGTGTGAAATAAGATGCGTCTCCGCGAAACATCTTCAATGACATCCTCAATGAACACTTTTTAAATAAAATTATTTTTTTCAATAGAAATGAGCCTAAAAAAATAAATTAGATAAAATTACAAATGAATATAAGGTCATATCGTGTCCCTACCCAAAGTCTCATGAATATATGTAGGGCTGTTGTCAAATACATTGATAGAGATGACAATTTACTTTAAATTGTTAGATTTCCATCCAATCCAATAGAGTCTAATTTTTTATAAAGAAAAATCGGATTCATGTTGGATTGGGTCAGATTGTTTAGAGGAGTGAGGTCGGGTCGGTTTTGGGTGGAGTGTGAAAAATCTCCGTCCCGATCCGACCCGGAGATAATAATATAATTTTCTTAAGAATTTTATTATTATTTTAATTAAGTCATTATTATACATCGATGGGTCGAATCGGGTCGAGTTGGATTTATGCCTAAAAAATTCGGATAGGATTAGAGAGAGGATAAATAATTTTCGGATTGAGACAAATTTAAGTGGAGGATACATATTTTTCAAATCAAATTAACTAAAAACCCGATCCAACTTGAGTTCACCATATTCGAGTTTGGCCAGAAAATCAAACTTCGGTGGTGAAGCAAAGAACCAATAGAAGGTTGTTCATTTCAGAAAATGTTGTTATTACGAAGCTACCATGAATGCCAAGCTAATGTCGCAAAGGCAGTATTCCATGGTTTTGAAGAACCAGCAAACTGTTTGAATATTATAAAGACTGTGGCCGATTCAGAAATTTAAGAATGGGGCCTAAAATTTTAGTTTTATTTTCTTAAAAAATAATGGGTATGAAAAAAATTTTATTTTTCCATTTTTTTAATATATTATACTAAATTTCACCTTTTCACCCCTAAATAATGAGGATGCGCTTGACCCCAAGGGAGTGTATCCGCCCTTGATTGTAACCTCCTCGACCGATGTGGGTAACCCGATCCGATCTGGAGTGTCACATTAGGGCCACCGGAGCGACCCACTGTAAAAATAGCGGAAAATTTAAAACTTTTTATCAGAACATGTAAACTTATAAAATCATTTATCAGTATGCATAAATAAAACAAATTTTCAGACTCATATATAAAGCAAAATACAATTACATGCCTCCTAATCATATGTACCATACTCTGCAAGCAACCCCGGAAGAACTCCCTTACTGATGTCGATAGATATACTGGTACGATTCTTTTAACCTGAAAAGATGAGTAACAGAGTGAGCTTTAAAAATCTCAGTAATACAGAACTACCAGATGACGCTGAAGAACATGCAGATACAGATAATTTTCTTATTGGTTCCGAACATCCATAGATTTTTATGTTGAGCGGAGATCTTAATGATGTTTCAGATGTTAACGGACAATGAGCTTTCAGTTATGAGAAATATTTCGGATGTCTAGGTTCAGGAGATCAAAATAAGTTATCTAGTGTGTTCCCGCAAAACCAGTGAAAAAATATATTTTTTAAAAATATTTTTAAACATTCAGAAATCATAGTAATTCTCTCAACCACACACGTCCATAATGTGTAGGTTCCCCAGAACTATACAACCCCGACACAACAGCAAGACCCTGAGCACACAGTCGAGGAGCCTTCATATATTCTTCCTCCAACAATAACCCCCAAATAAAACATTTATCAAAAACCATAGTAAATCCCCCAACCGAACACATCATAATGTGTAGGCTCCCCAGAACCATACAACCCCGGCACAACAGTTAGGCCCTGAGCACAAAGTCGAAGAGCCTGCATATATTCTTCCTCCAACAATACCCCCAAATAAACATTTTCCCTTCAATAAACGGAGATATCAAAAATCAAAACAG